ACACACACACACACACACACACACACACACACACACATACATATATTGGGCTAAAGTGGGGAAAAGGAAAAACTATCTACACTCTACGTAGTCATTCCATGCAGTCCCCTTCTCTTTAACAGTAAGGCGCAGAAGGCCCAAAGTTTAGGCCCTGCAGCCATGCCGTGGCCCCAAAAGGCTCAAAGACTAACCATTTCAGATCACCTTCACCAAAGGCACGCCTATTAACAGCCAAAAGTGCACTGGCCGTCTACTAGCAAGTTGATTAAAATCTTACCCAAGGAAGCGGGAAATCTAACCAGCTAACCATACGCTGGGTTTCAGTTGAAAGTCCCTCCCCGAAAGAGTGGCCGTAATTTAAAGCTCTCCCTAGACAGCTCCCTTCGTGTGGAGCAAGGTGGAGGCCCTGTCAGTGAGCGACCCTGGCTCCCGATTTGCAAGGCCTTCGCATGAATCCTTGGGCAGGGGAGGAGGAGCAGGCGGTCTCCCTCCTATCCTCTGTAATCTGAGGCACGCAACGAAGGCTGCCTTCCACCGCCACTCCAGGACACCCTCGATCCTCACTCCTCGGTCAGCTTCGCCTGCTCCCCTGCCTGCTGCTGCCTGTCCAGAGCCCTGCCGAAGGGTCAGCGCCCAGATGAGGCTGGCGGCAGGTTCCAAGGAAAGAACCCGAAGGTATGCAGCCCCTCAGACAAACCTGGCCTCTCCCAAAAGGAGCACGCAGGGATGGAAAGCAAAGCCTGCGACCTGAAAGAAGCCGCCCATCCTTGCAACACTTGTCCTTCCAAAGTTGGCATTCAACAGGTAGTTCCCGAGACTTCCACCTGAGGCGGACAGAAATGCTCAACCAGCTCAAGGGGGCCGCCCAGGGTGGATGCCGGGCCCTGCGTCCCCCTCCGGCGCCTGGACCCGCAGAGGCCGGGTCCCCACGTGCGCTGGCCCCCGCTGCAGCTCCCCGAGGCCCTCCTGGGAGGGATGCGCCGGCCTCCTCGCCGCCTGCCCTCCCGCCCGCCAACCCACGGCGGGGTCGGCGGGCGCAGCCCCCGGGGCCATCTTGTGGCGACGGCGCGGGGCCCGGGTGACGGGCACTACCTGCACGATCTCGCCCTCGGCGCTGAGCGTGGCCCCAGCCGGCGAGAAGCGGCCCGTGAGGCCGGTGGTGTAGGTGGTGTAGTCGCCGCTCGGGCTCGACTCGAACAGCACCACCTCCACGAATGCCGTCTCCTTGGCCCGCGCCGCGCCTGGCCCCGCGGCCGCCAGCAGAAGTCCGAGTAGCAGAGGCAGCGGCGGCGGCGGCGGCAGGCGGCGGCCGCGGG